TCAGAGGACGAGCAGGAGTTCTCCCAGGGCCTGGCACATGTATGACCGTCTTGATGTTCACCTCAGAGACAGAATACTGAACTCCAGTTGCAGGAGGTGTGTTGCCTCCCAGGATTTGGCAACTGTAGATAGAGAGCTTGTCTGCATGGCAGGATGTAGGTGAAACCTCCAGAGGAGTCTTCAAGGTTAGATGATGACACTGTGAACAGCATCCCTGCAAACTTTCCTGGTCTTGACTATTTCAGGAGCATAACACTAACTTTGTCATAAAGGTGCAGAAACATAGGTTTACCAGACACACACTCATTCTTTAGAATATTTCTATTGATGAATTATTAACTTTACTTTTATAAGTGTTGTTATATTACACAGTGGCTTACCAGGAAAAAAAAACAAAAAAATATAAAGTATTGAATTTTTAATATTTATTGAGTGTTTATAATAAAGCATCAAAATTTAAAACATCAACAATTTTTTGGCATAAAGTCTACAAAAAATAACAAAAATATTCCTATACAAATTACACTGAAAATACCAACAGCAATTTACAAAAAAGTAATCTTCACTTCAATTATCACATCTAAATCAGTCTGTGCACATGACCACAGCGTATTCCATAGACACATAATACTCACACTGGGAGCACACGTTTTGCTGTCCTACTCTTTTTGTAGGATATACTTGATATCTCAGTAGTTTTGCTGTTTTGTCAAGGTTATTGTGTTACAGAGTGTGTAGCCAACAGGAACATAAAATATCAAAAGAAGTTCTTAAATTCTTACTGTGTGTTGTGCGTTTAGAATACACATCAATGGGGCTGGGGGTTTAGCTCAGCACCATAAGCACCTGCCTTGCAAGCAGGCGGTCATGAGTTCAATCCCCGGCACCGATAAAAAAATGAAAAAGACAAAAAAAAAAAAAAAAAAAAAAAAAAAAGAATACACATCGATATATTTTCACCTCAGCTGTGTATTTCTTTATAAAACCCAAAGATAACATCAAAAATAGAAACCTATGTGAACTGCAATGTAAACAGAAACAAAAATCTACCACATAAATAAGCTTTGCTTCAACTGTCATATCCAAAGCAGTCTTTGCACTTGTCATACCCAAGGCAGTCTTGCATGTTCCATACATGAGGGACACTTCCACTGATAGCATGTTTTGTTTTCCTGTATTTTCTTGTAGGACACAGTTGAGATCTTTTTGTTTTCCTCTTATCATCGTGGATCTAGGAAGCTGTGTGTGCCTATTCACCTGTCAGCTCACCAGTGCACTCCACAGTACTTCACATAATTCACTGACAAGAAAAGCTGGATTTTTCTCTGCTGTAAATAATCTCATATGAACTGTAGTCCCAAACCATAAGAACATTTCTGTTCATAACATCATCTGGTTTATTATTCTATGAATAAACACCTTGTGGCTAAGTTCAAGGCTAAATGTCTAAATTGAAAGCATAAAAAGTCCTCACATGCACAAGGGCATGCATTATGCCATAATTGACCCATCATTTTCCATGAGGCCTTTACATTCCTGCAATCACTATGAGAAATCCCTCCTAAGCACACAGATCCATAAATGCTTTCAGTTCAGCACCATGTCATAAAACATTTTTGAATATGGCTAATGGTGCATAGAGAACACTTTACTTGAATTTTAACCTCTGTATATTTCACAGAATCTTGTAACATTTCATGTGTTAAAATTTCCAACTTTGAATAGCAGTATCAGCATTCGTCCAATACATTTCACTCTTGCCAAGTCCCTCACTATATTTTTGGACTTAGTATTAACATTAGATCATTTCATTTGGTTATGTGGCCATTTTGCAACATTTTCACTAGTCAAATATGTATTCACATTGTTTTGTCATCTTAACAAAGGAGGTCGGTATCAGTATCAGTTGATCTTTGCTCCACTTCACTGTCCCAGGAAGTTTGACTCACATGGCCAATTTCAAAGTCCTCTTTCTCCTCTTCATCGACATCCATCCATCCACAACACTCTTCTGTTATGAAAGTGTTTTGTCATAATGGATCATCTTCATCACTCATGCATGAGTAATCTGACGATTCATTCACTTGTGACCTCCTCCAAGATATAGTTTTCACATGCCATTGTACAGAACTGGGCTATTTCCACCAGAAAAATCAAAAGAAAGCTTTTAAAAAGACAAATCCTGGGGTAATGGGGGATTATTGAACCCTCTTTGATGCTTGAATAAACACACAAAAGCAGTTAGATGGAACACAACGTGGGTGAAAATCCCATTTTGAGACTTTTGCACTTGCTCACACACCTCATTGTTTGACACAGCAAGTTGGTAATCACATAAACTGCTTTCCAGTGTCCCTCAGGGGAAGGTAGTGACATGCCCAGCTGGCTATTGCACTAAAGTAAAATTTACTGGTACAGGATAGGCCTGCTGCATGTAGTTATGTTGCTACCTACACTCTAATATGTCCCTGTGTCTCCTGAAACCTTTTCTTAACCAAAGACCCACTCCAACAGTAGAGTGGCCAACTCTTCTGTATTTGGCACAGAGGACTTTTACTTTGTACTTTTTCTACCTTCTTGCTTTGCATCTAATTGGGTGAGGTTTCCCATCTCGTCTCCCAGTCTCTGCTTTTGATTGGGAAGACACTGCCCCTTCATTAGAAGGGAATTAGAGCTTGCAAGAGTTTGCCTCTGTCAGGTGGCTGTTTCATGAGCCTTGCAGCATCTTGTCCTTGCTCTTTTTCTTCTTCTTCTTCTTCTTTATTTTTTAAAATTTTATTTTATTTTATGTTTTTTGTATCAGGGATCAAACTCAGGACCTCACACTTGCCAGACAGATCTTATGCTGCTGAGTTAAATCCCTGGCCTAAAAAGAGGATAAAACCAAGGAAAATAAAACAGAACAAAACTGATCAAGATAAACCAGTATAAGTGATACAGGTCTTTAAAACTTAGAAAATCAGCAATAGTTACCATAATGCCTCTATCATCTTCAAAATAGCTGCAGATACCTTTGGACCTGGTAAAAATCAAACAACAGAATAGAGCAGAAACAACAAACACAAAACAATGACTGCAGTAAAGGACTTCAAAACAAGCTCACAGTAAGTCCAGAATGGCTACCATAACACGTCTTGCTATCTTTTGAACAGTTGTTCATGGCATCAGATTTAATATAATCAAACAAAATGAAAGAATAAAACCCAACCAACAAAGCAATGAAAATGACATGGTTTCCAGGCAGGGCCCACCCCCTTGTGAGGCCTGGTTCTCGCTCCACAGTCTGCGAATGCTGCTGACTGGGAGAGAGGCTTGGGCATGGCTGTCCCCACTCCAGCAGCAGCTGTCCAGCTCTTCTGCAGGAGTCATTCGTTTTGGAGTCAATGGGCTCGTCACCTGTGTAAAAGCTATTTATGTTTTCTTTGAGGATGCCGTGGATATAACTTTGAAAATCCCAAGGCCACCCCAGGGTGGTGTGAATCCGTGGCAGTTAAACATAGCCATATACAGGATGCTGCCCCACATCTGGGGAGTGAGTTTGTAGTTTCCTCCACGTATGCCACACTGTGTCTCAGGAAATACAGTACTACAGGGTGCATTGTTTTCTTTTCAATATGTGAGCCTCTAACATGTAGAATACAAAACCAGTCCTGATTTTCATAAAGGTCCACGTATTCAGCTTTAACAGACTTTTCTTCAGACTTGAGTTCCTGCAAAAAAATTCTCCTTTGTGAGCCAGGGTCTTGCTCTGTAGCCCAGGCTGGCCTTGAACTCACAGTGATCATCTTGCCTCAGCCTCCTGAGTGCTGGATCACAGGCATGTGGGACCAGAGCTGGTTCTTTCATTTCAACCTAAGGGACTCCTCTACCCAAGTCAGGCCTAGTAGGAAGGACGGACATTCTTCAGTGCTTGCATCTAGGAATGTCTGAGCTTTCCCCCTCATTTTAAGGACAGTTTTGCTGGATGTAAAATGCTTATTTGAGAGAGCTTTTTGTTTTGTTTCACTGTTTCATTCACACAGCACATGTCCACCTGTTTCCTTCTGTCCTCCTGTAACAGAATATCCTGCACCCCAGTCAGTATACTGCAGTTCTTAGTTGTCCAGCTAACAGTTCTGTCTCTAAGAAACGGCTGGTCACTGAGACGCCTAGCTGGTCACTGTGATGCACGCTGCATAAACCAGCCCCAATCAACAAGCCATTTTGCCCCTGTACTCCCCACTTGCTTATCCTATACAGGCCTCAGACCATCAGAGATCAGGGCCTGATATTCTGGGAATGTACCAATCAGTGCCCGTTGGTGTAAATAAATGTGTCTCCAACTCCTGGGTGTCCTTTCTGTGACTGTGCTTGCCGCTGCTCTCCAAGGATTCTGAGGATAAGTCTAATGATTATGTTTTTGGGGAATTGCTGTCAGCTGCACAGGCATTAATTTATTTGTCATATTTTATACACTGAACGTTACGTTATTCTAATGTAAGTGAAGTTGCAGCATCACTTTGACACCAGTAAGAATTAAGAGCAAAAGGAACTGGAGATGCTGAGTGTAGACATCATGGGATCTCTAAATGCAAGAGGTATTACAGATGCTGAGAACAGATTCTCAGAACAGAAACAAAAAGGGATATTGAAGCATCCTACAGGTTTGAATTTCTAAAACAAAAGTGTCAATCTCCATAACTCACATTAGTAAGACATTTTGTAACATTTTTCTGTTAGAACCAAAAGACCCTCATGGCCAAGAGTGTGATGAGTGAAGTGGAGGTGACCAGCTCTGTCTGGGCCCACTGGCACCATGACCTCACAAGATCCCCTGTGAGGTCACAGCAGTTAGCTGTATAAGGTAGGGTGTTCACCCTAGAGACTCTTTGTGGGTGAAGTGGATTGGTGTTCGGAGTATAGTTGGTGGTTTGGGATTCGAAATTTTGGTAATTGATTTTATAAAGTCTAGTTCCATCAGGGCATCCTTTGTGGCGCGTAAAACATCTTTGCTGGACGTCATGTCATCATCCACAGGAATCTTCTGTGAAGACTATGACATGCTGTTGCCCCTTGGTGAGGGTCACTTTGCCAAGGTGGTACTCACTGAACATGTGAGCACAGGGATGCTGGTAGCTGTGAAGGTACTTCAAAAGGACAAGTTGAGGCCTACTGCTGTTAGACGGGAGGTCAGCATCCTAAAGGACCTTCAGCACCCCAATATCATTGAGTTGCTGGAAGTCTCAGAAAATAGTACCACTATGTTCCTGGTAATGGAGTATGCACGCGGGAAAGACCTGCAGCGATTTATCAAGTGTGCTGAGAGACAGAAGCTGCGGGAGGAAAGGGCCCGGCAGATATTCCGAGAACTCCTGGAGGCTGTGCAGTACTGCCATGACAGAGGCATCATCCATGGGGACCTGAAACCGGCAAACATATTAATGGACCGTGAAGGCCACCCCAAGCTCAGCGATTTTGGCTTGGCTTTCAGGTTCCTTCCTGGCCATTAGGTGACCGCGTGTGGAGGCACCCGACAGTATTCTGCCCCGGAGTTATTCTTACAAAAGAAATACCAAGGCCCACCACTGGACATTTGGTCTTTAGGGGTAATTTTATTTGAAATGGTCGCTGGGGTACGCCCATTTAGTGGGAGCAAAACAGAATTGACGAAGAATGCCCTAAAGAGGCGATACCAGTTTCCCCAGCACTTCTCCAAAGAGGTGCAAAGCTTAATCAAGGGGCTTCTCAACCCTGACCCAAGCATGCGCCCTACCTTGGAGCAAGTAAGGCAGCATCCATGGCTTCAGCTTGAATCTGTCCCTTGTCATCCTCCTCAACTGCTCCCCAAAGCCACAGAAAGGGCAATACTGGACATTATGGATGGGAAGGGGTACAACCCGCTGAAGGTGATTATACGGCGCCGCGGGCAACAAAAGACGTAACTGTGTTTGGATCAGCTCTCAATATTTATTGTGTACAGCGAAGCTGGATCTGACAAGATCCGCCACCCTCAAGTTTCTTCCTCTTCTGCCCGTTGGGGGCAGAAACACACACTTATATAGGATCTGAGTAACCAATCAATATGAAGCAGAAGTCACATGCTGATAGGCCACAGTCACCGGTAGCTAGGTAGACACTCATTTTGGCAGGGTTGTTTGCGCGGCAACAGGGACCCGGAAGCAGGAAACAGGCGCCACCTTAGGGGAGCGGCTCGAGCAACCCCCAACATCTCCCCCTTTTTTATTTAAATTTGATACACAAATCACATGGGTCTTTTCCCCTCCGCCCGTATACTGTGGCCAGTGCCAAAAGAAAAGGGGAAGGCCCAAGACAGGCCGGGACAAGAGAGAGTGCAGAGGTCTATACCCCGCTGTGCACCATCTCATTCTATGCATATCTTTGCGCTAAGACCATGCTTGAGATGGGGTGCTCATTTTCCGCAGGGCCAGGCATTATTGAATGGAACCTGGATGCATATAGACAGGCATTCCTATCACCCCCTGTTCAGCTCAACCAGGGTGGATGATACTGCAGTACCCTTGGTCTCGCATCTCATTGCCCCTGTTATTCGTACTCCCCAACACATCCGAGGAGGAAGAGGAGGAGGAGGAGGACCCATGGGTGCAAACAGCCAATTTAAATCTGATGTTCTGCCAGGCACAACAAATGGGCCGCAGCTGGTCCCCCTGTCGGGCCCTGTTCTGTAAGTTGCATAGCGGCCAGCGCCGTAAGCCTAACTTGTTGTTGAGTCTGCATTAATCGATCAAGCAAACACTTAATGACCACTAAGCCTACTAGTATGGCTACAGCTATGAGGACCCAAGTGGTGAGGTTAGGCCACGAGAACCATGACATTACACGATCCCACAAGGATTTCAGGACTGTCCCCAGACTATCAAGGTCATAGGTTACTGGCTTTAGGCGGATATTGTCCATGCGATCAATGGCACCAAACACCTCTGTGGAGATGTTTTTAAAAGTAGGAAGGTAGGTGTTTTGGAGCCAGTGAGTCACCTTTTTGGTAGTGCCAGTTAAATTAGTGCGAGCGGGGGTCACGCAGAGGCGGGCAGCCAGCCATCTTTGATTGCATAGCGGCGTGGCTACATTCCAAAGGTTGTCAATCTCTTGTCCGATTTCGTCAATCTCCTTTTGGATCTCTAAGATGGTCTGGCTGTTAAGTTCAATGAGGAGCTCTTGTCTCCTCAAGGCGTAGGCGGTCTCATTGGCAAGATTGTTGACTGCTTCCATGGTCAAGGCTATCTGATTCATGGTCCACGCTTGCAACACCGTTTGGCCTATGGCTGGGACAAAAACAGAAGCAGCAACTCCGAGAGCATTAATAAGCCAATCTTTAACACTTCTAGTCTGTCTGGAAGGTAACTGAGAAGCTGAAATCTGTTGGACTACCGGACCCACCCAAGAATTTGTCTCTACTGGTACCCAAAGAAAGCTTGGGCGATATACCAAGACAGCGAAGGACGAGTGTCCATTCCAGCAGTTAGATAAACTGCAGAGAGAGTCGGTTTCATTACAAAGTTGGAAGTTATGTGTGGTGGCAAGGAGAAATAGGAAGGTTGGGTCCACACAAACATAATTATGAAGGGGGGTAGTGCTATTGCTTTCACTATTGCTCGTGGATGTACTATGGAGTATTCCATTAAGGGTGAGAAATGGCCTCAGGTCGAGACAAGCCTTTAACGGGTTGCATATCTGATGTCCTGTAAATACCTGTGGCCCTTGAAATGCTCTATATCACAATGTCCAGTATAATTCATGAAGGAATTATGGTGTGGCTGTGGGCAAGCAATGGTGCCAGAAAAGATTTTGCATAATATCACCTCTCAATAAGGCAGGATGATGAGAGGGAACACAAGGGTCCATCCATGGATGTTCCAACGGATGAGGGGACCGATTGCAATCTTTAAGATCTATGGAGGGCCATCTTACCTCCATCTTGAGGCAGCGTGTTACATTACCTTGCTGGCTTACAGAATCAAGACATTCTCTGCGTGTCCAATTGAGGAAGTTAATGAACGGGCGAAAATCATTATATAATGCATAGGACTCATTGCAGGTGAAGTTAGCATAGGAGAAAACAAGGGTATCTTCTTTCAGCGGAAAGGAAGCATTAAAGGGGAAAAGGCTTGGGGAAGTTCGCTTATAGGGGAGCGATATAGAAGAGTCATTAGGCACAAATACCGTGGGAGCACTAGGAGACAGCGCAGAAAAAGGGGCTAGAGTAGGGGGATGTCTCCAGAGTCCCCACAGATATGTGGTCGGCTCTGGGTGCGCCACGGCAGAATGGAGCACATACAACAGACAGAGGACAAGATTACTTATCCAGATCCCTGGGTGTTTGTCCTCCCAGCGATGCTTTTCCTCCATCTTTTGATGAGTCATCTTGGATTTCCCGGTATGCTGGCTGAGGGTTCACCGTTCGTACCAACCGCTCGGGGATCCACAGGGGTTCGCGGCCTGGTTCCTGTGGGAAGACACATACCGCACCTCGGGTCCAGCTGACTACTGGATCCGGGCCCATCCATTGTCCTGTGAGGACATCCTTCCATCTCACTAGGCCTTTATCAGAAGGAGATGGATTGCAATGCTCCGCGGCAGGAGAATGATTATCATTACTGAGGTTCAAAAAATTTATGGTAAATAGTGCAAGGGATAACCTCCCTTTGGGTGGTAGGCCATGGCCTATTCCCTCCTTTTGTTTTTGTAGAACATCTTTGAGTGTTCTATGAGATCTCTTGATTATACCTTGTCCCTGAGGATTATAAGGTATGCCATGTTTAAGAAGGACTTCCATCTGCTGACAAAATGTTTGAAATGTTTTACTAGTGTAAGCAGGGCCATTATCTGTCTTTAATATAGCTGGTTTGCCCCAAGCAGCCCAAGCTGCGAGACAATGACTAATAACTTGAGATACCTTTTCTCCAGTCTCCGCTGAGGCAAACATGATCTGTGAACAGGTATCAACTGATGCATGGACATATTTTAAGGTTCCAAAGTCTGGGATGTGGGTGACATCCATCTGCCAAATATGATTGGGGCGCAGGCCTCGTGGGTTGACACCAACTGAGTGTATAGGGTGAGAGATTACACAGGCTGAACAATGGCGAACGATGTCTCGCGCCTGAACTCTCGAGATGTTAAAGCGTGCCGCCAAAGTACGAGCGTTAACATGGAATTGAGAATGGAAGCGTTGAGCTGACTCAATCGCACTGGGAAAGGCGAAAATCCATGTCGGGCGTGTAGCCATGTCAGCAAGGGCGTTCCCTTTGGAGAGGGGTCCCGGCAATTGAGTGTGTGCCCTAATATGTGATATAAAAACCTTAGAAGTCCTGCTTAATATTAGCCTCTGAATTTTTATAAATAGGGAGGCGACAGTGGAAGATGGTTTAATAGGGCCTGCTGTTTCCAAAATCTGTAGAGCATTGACAACATATTTAGAGTCTGAGATGAGATTGACATCACCGGGAAAACGTTGTAGGACTACATGTATAATTTGAAGCTCCACCACCTGAGGCTGTTCTGGCGTAAACTGGACAGCCACCGGTGACTGGCCCATCACCACATAGGCACCCACACCTGATTTGGATCCATCAGTAAATATAATAGTAGCTCCATCGATGGGCTTGGGAGATGTGACTTTTGGGAAAATCACGGGAAGAACAGTTATAAACTGTACCAGGGGATCTTTGGGTAATTGATTATCAATAATTCCTTGGAAGGTACACCGGAGGATGGCCCAGGAATCTAAACAGGCCGTCAAAACCTCAATTTGATCTCTGGTGTAAGGCACATGCAAAGCAGTGGGAGGCACTCCAAAATGCTGAATGGCGCGTAGAATCGCCTCTGTGGATAGGGATGCTACAGCTTCAGGATAATGTTCTATGGCTTTAGCGGGTGACATCTTCAGGTGGACCCATAACAAGGGACCTTGCTGCCATACGACAGCCGTTGGCTGTCTCTCTGTCCTGAGAACACATACAACAAAGGGCTTTTCAAGAACAATACGTCTCAATGCAGCGTTAGCTAGCGCCTGCTCAACTGTCTGTAATGCTCTTTCAGCCTCGGGAGTAAGTATTCTTGGAGAAGTAAGTTCAGGATCTCCCTTAAGCATGTCAAATAGGGGTTTAAGCTGACTGTTAGGCAAGGAAAGATATGGCCTGATCCAATTTATGTCACCTATCAACCTCTGCATATCATGCAGGGTACGAATAGTATCTCTTCGAATAGCAAATTTCTGTGGTGAAATCTGAGTGGCAGTGACTCGGGCCCCCAAGTAAAGAGCCACCTCGGATTGTTGGATTTTGTCTGGGGCAATATGTAGATTTGCTTTTCTGAGAGTAGAAACTAACTGATGCAGCATACTTTGCAGATTAGAGAGATCCTTCCCAGAAATAAGAATGTCATCCACTTAATGCAGGCATTTATTCTTTGGGAAGGCTCGCCTCAAGGGCTCAAGGACGGCATCTACGAACAATTGGCACATGGTAGGACTATTTGTCATGCCCTGTGGTAGCACTACCCACTCATACCTTAGGTCAGGTTTTTCTTGATTAACCGTAGGTAGGGTAAACGCAAAGCGTGGGGAGTCCTCTGGGTGTAGGGGAATGGAGAAAAAGCAATCCCTAAGGTCTATCACATAGACCAGCCAATTTTGTGGCAATGCTGAGAGAGCGGGCATACCTCTCTGGACCGCGCCCAAGGGTTGCATCTGAGCATTTACTGCTCGCAGATCATGAAGAAGTCGCCATTTCCCTGATTTTTTCTTAATGACAAAAACAGGAGTGTTCCATGGGGAAGTAGAAGGTTTAATATGCCCTGCTTGGAGTTGTGCCTGTATCAATTCTGAAGCTGCTTCTGCCTTCTCCCTTGGTAGGGGCCACTGTTGCACCCATACGGGGCTGTCTGTTTTCCAGGTAATCTTTAT